GGCCCAGCAGTTTTGCCCTTTGGGCCCCAATGTGGGATTTCTGTGGGCATGCCCACAGTTGGGCTGGCCCACAGTAAACCCACACAGGCCCCCTTTGGGCAAGCCCATGCTGGGCCCAGCAGTTTTGCCCTTTGGGCCCCAATGTGGGATTTCTGTGGGCATGCCCACAGTTGGGCTGGCCCACAGTAAACCCACACAGGCCCCCTTTGGGCAAGCCCATGCTGGGCCCAGCAGTTTTGCCCTTTGGGCCCCAATGTGGGATTTCTGTGGGCATGCCCACAGTTGGGCTGGCCCACAGTAAACCCACACAGGCCCCCTTTGGGCAAGCCCATGCTGGGCCCAGCAGTTTTGCCCTTTGGGCCCCAATGTGGGATTTCTGTGGGCATGCCCACAGTTGGGCTGGCCCACAGTAAACCCACACAGGCCCCCTTTGGGCAAGCCCATGCTGGGCCCAGCAGTTTTGCCCTTTGGGCCCCAATGTGGGATTTCTGTGGGCATGCCCACAGTTGGGCTGGCCCACAGTAAACCCACACAGGCCCCCTTTGGGCAAGCCCATGCTGGGCCCAGCAGTTTTGCCCTTTGGGCCCCAATGTGGGATTTCTGTGGGCATGCCCACAGTTGGGCTGGCCCACAGTAAACCCACACAGGCCCCCTGTGAGTAAGCCCATGGAGGGCCTGCAGCAGTTTTGTCTGACAGCCCTGGCCTTTCTAATTAGAACTGCACACAGTCACCAAAGCATTTAATTATTATTAGTGATTAATGAAATTAATAATAATTCATTATTATCAACAGCAACATCAATAATTATTATTGTTGTTGATGGTCATTATTAATTAATTGTTATGATTATTATTATTATCATTAATGATAGTTTATTATTATTATTATTGTCGTCATCTAAAGCTGTGTGTCTCATTTTGGCTGTGGGTTAGAAAACAATCCCATCATAGAGTGTTCTGGCCCTGCCATTTATTTTGTGTGGTCACTGGGGACACATTCCCTGCCCTGTACCGTTGCTTCAGCGATAGGCTCCGAACACCCAGCGACCCCGAATAGGACACGCGGGTACAGAAGCTGAATGGATGGATTGGGGACACGCGCTGGGCGTTTGAGTGCAGCGGGAAGCTCGCGATCTCGAGACAGGTGTTTCGAATCAGGAAGACCTTTAGGAGAGAAAGCCCGGACAGCCCTGACTCCGATACACGAAAGCTAATAAAAAAAACATTATTGATCATCCCATGATAGCCCCATTTAAAGGCACTCCCTGTGAGTAAAATGTTACGTTAATATTAGTGCTGGGCAACGATTAAAATCTTTAATCGTGATTAATCGCATGATTTGTCTGATTAATCGTGATTAATCGCAATGTT